TTAATTGATTCCAGTTAAATAAATTTGATTAATTGATTCCAGTTAAATAAATTTGATTAATTGATTCCAGTTAAATACTGTAAATTTGATTAATTGATTCCAGTTAAATACTATAAATTTGATTAATTGATTCCAGTTAAATACCGTAAATTTGATTAATTGATTTCCAGTTAGATAAATTTGATTGATTATAGTTAGGGATATAAAATTTGATTAAATAGTGCATGATTACATGCCATAAATCGATTGAAAAAACTTTTTTCTAATCCATGGTTATATTTATCTATCCAGACCCAGATAACTAAGGAGATAAGGCATATAGAAATGGTCTAGAAAATTTATTTGACAAAAAAACAAACACATCTCTTGCACTCCCGTGATGTTCAAACGAACAAGATTACGATAATAGTAACAGGTTTCAATAAACAGCTCGGTATACATGAGAAAAAATCTGATTGATCATCTTTCTAATTTACATAAACTTTAACAATCATGAATGAAAAAAGCAATATGCTACGGTAACTGATCAATGACATTTTTAATATGCTCATTTGATGATGTGGATTTTACCAAATTTTGAGTCGAATAAAATCTATTTAATGCTTGCTGCGATGTATCTTCCACATTTTTTTTCATAAAAATGACATATATCAGGTCCATGTACTTCGGAAATTCGCAAGTTGACGATGCTACTTCCGAGGATGCCAAGAAACTCATTGATGTCTCTAGTGATAAAGCCGGAAATAATAACATTCTCGAGGATAGAAAAGAAATTACTAGAGCTGTGATAAATATTGATAAAAACAGCACAATTAAAACTATTATCAACAATATCGATCAATCCGCTAATGAACGTATAATCACACAAGAAAAATCCCAACAAATTTACGAGAAATTGGTTTATATAGATTGCTACAATCACGACAAAAGACGTTGGGCTCCCGAATGGGATAAATTATGTAAAAGGTATAAAGGTCTAATGATCAACTCGACAAATACTACGACGTTGCCTACTTGTTACAGGAATCACATCAAAAAAACTCTTCCAATATTGAAGAGTAACAATGTTTCCTTTGCCAAAAAAAAATTTTTAGTAGAGAAAATCAAAAACGTGAGTCATTTTTCTCTATATAGTTTAGAAAATGCTCTTTTCCTGCATACTTAACTCACAAACACGCACACAAACTATTTAACCAGTCTATTAAGGATCATCAAGAAAAGGCAAAAAAAAACCTCATCTATTTTGATCAATACAAGCAGGATGTTTTAAAGTTCAGGCAGGACATTGTGAAGTTTAAAGAGGGATTGGGTGAGGAAATTACAAACTCGCAAGCTGTCTTCAAAAGTTTTTTAAACTATCTGATGATCGTTCGAAGCGCAAATTATTCAGGTGAGTCCTTGAAGGCTTTTTCAAGCAAACTGCTAAAGAAAGATCAAGTTATGTTCTTAAATAATAATGTGCAATTATTTTAAATAAAAAAAAATTTTTTTTCAATAATCTTTTAGTTACGCAAGAAACGCTCTCGATGACACATGAATGTGTTGTAGAAGCATCTAAATTGTTAGAAGAATTTATTGATTCAATAGATGAATTTTCCGGGATTAATCATATTCGTACTAGAGTTTGGGATGTTATTAATAGCGAATTGGAAAGCTTTTTGAGTACTAAAACTGTACTTACCGATGACACAAATAAGTATATTGCCTAAATGAAATCAGAGGAAAAGATTAGTGTTCAAAATGTTTATTCTGTATGAAAGACGAATTTTCTCTTAATAATATTTTTTTGTACGATACTTGAACTACCTTTTTTAAAAACATAATTATACAGTATTATTCAATTGAGAATTCGGATGAATAAGAACTCTTTTTTGATATTATTTACATAGTCGCAAATACTCCACTCGACGACTCAATCTGGTCAAATCTTGTTAATCTAGCTTTGCTGTTCACGGCGAGTCTGTAAATAAAATTCCAGCAACTTGTTTTAGAGTAATCAATTACAGCACAGATACGTATATCGGTGCATACTTTTGATAGGAATTATAATGATCAAATACTCTCCATCAAACCATTCTTCGTGCAACGAACAGAATGTTCTGGTTCATTGTTTGATAAAGAAACACGTTCATGTACTGTATTTCATGTAAGCATCATTCTAATTCGCCACGTAAAAGTTTTTAGGATTGAAATCAAAAGTCAAGAAATCAATACATATTACTGTAATTATCGCAATATACTGTATATTTGAACATCTCAAAGTATAATGTTTTTTGTATTTATTGAATTAAAAATATCCGGCTACAGTATTATACAAATAAATAAATTAGATATACAGTATAAATAAACAAATTGTTAGTAAGACTTCAATATAGTAAATGGGTGATTCTTTTTGAAGGCGGACAGGAAATTTTCGGACCCTAAAATTATTATGATCTGCATACCCTAAATTTATATATATTTTCGAATATTTTAATGGCACATATATATTTATTAATTAATACGTATATTGTACACACTATACAATCTATTATCGAATGTACTATTTTATGATTATAATATAAATATCAAGATAAAATAAATGAATTAAAAAAAAAAGGTGAGTTTTAAAATATAACAAAAAGTAAATAGGTTTACAAAATATAAATAAATAGTAGGTTTAAGAAACATAAATAAAATATGAAGTGAAGTAAATGGATTCGGGAAATGTAAGATAAGATAAATGGATTTGTAAATATGAGATGAAGTAAATTGATCACGAAACGTGAGATGGAGTGCATGGGGTCTTGAAACGTGAGGCGAAGAGGATGGATTGCGAAGCATAAGGTGAAGTGAATAGTTTGCGAAACGTGAGGTGAATGGTAAGCGAAACATGAAATGAAGTGAATGGATTGCGAAACGTAAGGCGGAGTGAATAGATTGTGAAACGTTAAGCGAAGTAAATGGATCACGAAACGTGAGACATAGAGATTAGTTTGCGAAACGTGAGGTGAATGGCGAAACATAAGGCGAAGTGAATGGTTCGCAAAACGTGAGGCAGAGTGGATGATATGTAAAATGTAAGGTGAAGTGAATGGTTTGCGAAACGAGAGGTGAAGTAAATGGTTCGCGGAACGTGAGGCAAAGTAAATAGTTCATGAAACGTGAGGTAAAGTAAATGGTTCGCGAAACTTGAGACGAAGTAAATGGTTCGCGAAACATAACGTAAAGTGAATTGATTTGCGAAACTTGAGATAAAATAAATTGGTTCACGAAAAGTGAGACAAAGAGAATTGTTCGCGAAACGTGAGGCGAAGTGAATGGTGCAAAACGTGAGGTAAAGTGAATGGTTTTCAAAATGTGAAGTGGAGTGAATAAGTTCGTGAAACGTGAGGCGAAGAGAATGGTGAAGTAAATAGTTTGCAAAACATGAGGCAAGAGAATGATTCGTGAAACGTGAGGTGAAGTAAATTGATTTGCGAAACATAAGGCGAAGTGAATGGTTTGCGAAACGTGAGATGGAGTGGATAGATCGCGAAACGTGAGGTGAAGTAAATTGGTTTGCGAAACGTGAGACAAAGAGATTGGTTTGCGAAACGTGAGGCGAAGAGAATGGTTCTCTAAACATAAGGCAAAGTGAATGGTTTGCGAAACGTGAGGTAAAGAGAATGGCTCACTAAACGTGAGGTGAAGTGAATTGGTTTGCGAAACGTGAGGCGAAGGGAATAGTTTGCGAAACGTGAGGCGAAGAGAATGGCTCACTAAACGTGAGGTGAAGTAAATTGGTTTGCGAAACGTGAG